CCGGCGCTGCAGGCCTGGGAGGGGCGTGCGTCTCCACTTTGGCCAGCATGCAAATGGAATCTTTCCGAAACTTCCGGGGGGTGGGGTGGGGTTGGAGGCCTTGGCTCGGGAACCTTTTAGCAGATGCGGGCACAAGACAGGCTTCTGTGCAGGTCAGAACCTCCTCCTGTGCGGGCGCATATAGGAGTCAGCCCTTCTGTCCTGGGACAGACGGATGGATGGATGGACGGACACGGCCTCGCTGGATCCCCTCGCTGGCCGTCCTTGGTGAGACCTGTCCTTTCGGGCAGTGAGAACAGCCGTTGATGGAGTCCCTATAGGTTGTCCCATCTGCAGAATTTCATAACGCGACTCTAAAGAGGCAGCCAGGCTTCAGTCTGGCAAGGAGGCGCAGGCCCCAGGGGTTGAGTGATTGAGTAATTATTATTATCCATCTATTGTTTGAAGCCCTCTGAAGAGCTTTCCGTAATGTACTCCAGGTTATAGGAAAGGAATCTGGAGTCATGATTGGGGCAGCGGTCCAGTCTCGCTGGGGGTGATGACCTACGGGGACCAGAACATCAGTGGGGGTGGCAGGGAATCAGAGGTGGGTGGCCCTGGCATAAGACATTGGGCGGGGGCTCCCTTTTCCATCCCTCAGTTGGTGCTTGATTTAGGAATACCCAGAGCTTGGTCTCTCAGTTGGGTAGAAGGATCTCCCTTAATAAATAATCCCCTTTATTAAGACTCTGCCACTGTCTCATTGTCTGGGAACTTTATAGAGGTTAGTTCATTTAATCTGAATGATCAACTCACAAGGTAAGTATTACTACCCCATTTCACAGATAAGGAAACTGAGGCACAGTAACTTCTCCAAAGTTACATGGATGGTAGCCTCCGATGGGAAGAGGGAGAGCTGGGCCTCACTACCTGTCACACGGAGAGTGCTGAATACATGAATTCATGAGAGTAACTAGGCTCAGTCTTTAGGCCCCAAGAGGGCAATGGAGGCATAGCTAGGGCCAGTTTGTCCTGGAAGGTTTGACAGGTGGAGAGTTGGGGTAACTCTGCTTTGCCTTTGCTCACTGTCTGTGGGCTCTGTCTGGGGTTGGGCTGGCCTGTGAAGGGGAGGACATGCCATCCCAGCATCTCCCTCTCCTGAGTCCAGCCTGGCAAGGACAGAGGTCAGCCTGAACCCATCTTATCCACCCCTGGGCTAGCACACCTGGCCTTTGCATCGTGCCTACCTGTCCAAGGGCCCACCCACCCGGCAGGGATTGCCAGTGTTGATGGTGCCAAGAGCTACGGGGCCCCTCCAATGGCTTTTCCAGCAAGAGGGGCACCAAGAAGGGGCCAACCACTCCACATCATGGACCCTCACTCTCTCTTCTTAATTTTCTGGTTTCACTGGGAAAAGTAGAAACTTGATGAATTCAGAACCTGACTAACGTGGTTAAAAGCTCATTCTACCTGTTCAAAATCCCAGCTCTTACTGGCTGTGTGACTCTGGGCAAGTCACTTAACCTCTCTGTGCTTTGGTTCTCTCCCGTAAAGTGGTACCGGCCTCGTACGGTAGGGTGCAATAATGGTACCAGCCTTGTAGGGTTCTTTGAAGGTTACATGAATCGATCCGTAAATGCTGCCTGGCACAGAGGAAATGAAGTATAAATGCTGTTTCTTCTTCCACCAAGCCTCACACATATCAAGGGCTTGAAGACCTTTTTCGGGTAAAAACCTCATATTCTCAAGAAGGAAGCAGGGTGGTTTGACTCTCAGAGCCTGAGGACTTGCCTTCTCCTGGAAGTCATGCCCCCTTCCACAGCCCACATGATTTCCTTAGTAAGTGGGTGTGGCAACCCCCAAGTCCCCTGCAGGCTCATCCATGGCTGAGAGCCTGGCATCTTGCCAGCTGGGTCTTGGGACCCGAGAGCTTGGGTGGGAAACTGTAGTGCTGGGAGGCATGTGTGTGGGGTGTCGGGTGAGAGGAAAAGAGAATGTCTTACTTAGCACTCTTTTAGTGGCCAGTGATGGGAACCGCCGGAGTCAGTTTAAGTCAAAAAAGTGACTTTGAGAGAAGGAAAGGAGATACACCATGGAGCTCAGGATGGCAGGGACTCTGGTCCTGGGTCTCTAGTAGGACAGGCACTAAGGGCCAGGGGCTGTGGGGTCGTCCCTCGTTCCTGCTCCTCTCTGGTTGTGCAGAATCTGTTTTCCTCCCTGCAGCCTGCTTTATCCCTCACAGAGCGCCTCACTCAGGTTCTCCACCAGGCAGAGGTTCCCGGAAGTTTTGGAACCCCTGCCAGACACCTGGGAGAGTGGATCTGCTTGGCCCAGCTTGGCCTGGCTGTCCATCTCTGGTTCTATCATCTGTGGCCAATTGTGGCGGCCCCGGTCCTGCCCTGGGGCATGCCATCTGGGCGGACACTGGAAGTATGCCCACTTCTGGGAGAGCACACCAGAGGCAGAACAGGGCACAGATGTGAAAAAACCAACCCGTTTAGGCACATCAAACCCAAAGAGGATATTTATTTTCTTTAGAGACAAGGGCTATAAGGGACTTATAATATTCATTAAAAAAAAAAAATGATAGCTCCTTTTCTGGGCTCCACTCTTGGACACAGCCAGGCTTCAGAGGATCCAGCATTTGGTATTTTCTCTCCAGGACTTGGCTAAACACCTTGGCAGTGAGCTTGTGTACAAACATAAATCATGCGGGTGTTCCTGGACTCTGCACCCAAGAAGTTCATGGATCCTGGGGCTGTGCAACACCCCAGGGATCCCCTTGAGCCATCCTCAGCGCCTGTCCTTGTCTAGAACCCCCTCCCAGTGACAATAAAGCTCGATTCAGAATTTGGACCCCCAGGGCCCCAGCACTGCCATCTGTTATCTGAGGTGGGTAGTGACCTAAGTGCTGGGGAGTTAGGCTCC